GTGTCCCACAAGAGTGTCCTACAAGAGTGACCCACAAGAGTGTCCCAGAAGAGTGTCCCACAAGAGCGTCCTACAAGAGTGTCATTTGGACTTATGTAGCTTTTCGAACATGTTTGCATTTGGGTTCGTGGGCTCCATCTTGTTCCATTCATTTTTTGATTGGTTTTGGTTGTTGATCGACCGACCCATTGCATGGTCGGGTGTCCAAGCGCACATGTGCGCAACCGCGACCTGGGCGGGTGCCGAAGAAAACATCACTTCACTAAAGCTTTGTTGGGTCCAATCTTGTGATGTCAGAGGGGAATCTTTGCATTTTTTGGTTCCAACTACACCTTGAAACAACCCTATACAGAAAATGGCACCTGAACATGAAAGCAAAACCATCTCCCAATATGATTGCAGTTGTTGCTTAAACTTCCTATCTAACCAAAACGAAAAACGCGAAGGTCACCGTCGCCAAAACCCTTTACCTGCCCGCCTAGGTCTGAATGCCACCGATCTGCCGGAGTTTCAAGAGGCCGTTGCCAAGTACAAGGACCCTTTCTGAGCTTCTGGATGACGTTTTCAGACCGGAGAACATGGGTTTCTTTACAGTTCTTAAGCCCTAATTTGGGGTGAGGCGTTCGCTTGTGACGCTCATTTGCTTGGACCCCTGTTTGAGGTGACCTGGGCCTGTAGGAAATATGGTCGGTCATTGGCTGGCACTCCGAGGTCACAAACTGAAGAAGCTGGTATCGTACCAGGACCCTCCTGTCGGGGTGTCCTGGCTGAACTACCCCACACTACCGGCCGTTCGGCTTCCAGACAGGGCACCCCGACAGGAGGGTCTTGGTATGTGTTTTCGGTCTGATCAAAGGTGGCTTTCCTTACGCGGGACCGCCGTTCCGGCGGCGTTGAAGGACCAGGGTTGGTGGACTGGAAGGGAGGAGGATGACGCCATTCCGCCAGGGCTGGTGCGGGATTCGTTATGGGGAGATCCGCCGAAGATGCATCGCATCACGTGTATCATCTTAAAGTACTTCAAACCAACAGAGGTTGAAGAACCCTATAGACTATCCCAGTTGGGTACCCCAGTAAGGTCCTATAAGGTCACTTAACCTCTCTATGAAAGTAAACGATTTACAGTCACTGGAAATTCAGAGATAGCTTCAATGGTGGTGCCACTTCACAGCAATCCGTGTGTTCCTCCTTACTTATCCCGTGACTGGGCTCCAGTCCTCCCCCTGCAAGCCACTCGCTGAGCGTGTGGGATGGTGGATGGTTTCCCTTGGTTGGTCCACGCCGCGGCCGAAGGAAGTGAGGAAGTTGCCGTTGGGTTGGGATGAAGCTTGGTCCGAAGGAGCCTTGCGGTTGTTGGGAGGTGTTGGAAGGTGTTGTTGGAAAGACATCTTAAAGAGAACAACAGATGTCACAACATGTACGTAGATGAACACCATGTGTGTTGGGGAGATTGTTTTCAGTGTTTGGGTTAATTGTCATTGACCTAAGTGCTTTTGTTCTACAGGTCTTTGAATAAGGTTGCTGATTGCAAGGCTTTACCTCACTCTAGGCTTGGAACCTGCAGATGGGTTTCAATCACTTGTGTTCCCTTGTTGTAATGCTTGCAATGATTGCATGAGGGAGGGTATAGATCCCTGTTAAACACATGTAAACACAAGTTTCTTCTGTCTCCAGACCGCTGGCGCCACAGCAACTGCAGCTTCAGAGCTTCAGAGCTTCAGGGCTTAGTGACATGTTTCAAGTCTCATGGTATACCAACATCTCATTGAAGCCCTCCAACATTTGCCTTTGTTGGACTTTGTTGTGTATCTACTGTAAGCATACGATAGGTATTAGCATATATGTTATCAATTGTTTTCATATTATTATAACATGGTTTGGTCAAAACCGTCCCGAAGATGATCACCTTTTGATCCTGGTCGGACCACCCTCACCGCGACATCCCTTCCGTCTTCGCCCGAGCGAGGCCGTGGAGGACATCCGCTTCCGCTTCCGGAGCTCGCGTCCTCCACCCCGCCGCTCACCCGAGCTGAGGTGAGTTTGATGGTCCTCCATCGCGAGGGCGCACGCATGGTCGCCAAGCTGGAGCTGGAGGATCCCAACGTCCGTCCCTTCGAACGCAGCGATCGGTTGAGTGCGGATGGGTTGCAGGTGAAAGAGGTCCAGGATGATCCTGAATCCTAGGTGCTTTTCAAAGCCGGACAGTCCACAGAAATCCACAGAATATGGTATTCATGTGTTTGGATCCGATTCCAAGTATACGTCAGATAATGGAACATGATATGGTATTCATGTATTCATGTGTTTGGATCCGGTATTATACATAAGATAATGAACACTACCCTACAAAAACAGGTACTTGTACCCATTTTCCCAGGTACTTTGAGACTCCAGGTGCCTAGATTGAGGTGGTTTGGGAGAGCAGTGTTTGTGTTTGGTGCTGAGAGAGGTGGTTCGCACTGGGCTAGCTGCCTTTTTGCTTAATGGGAATGGGCGTCATTGAATCTGCTAATAAGTCATAGAACATGACTTGAGGAGAAAGATAAGCACACATGACTCAGGCCGTACCAACTCCGGCAAAATCAAGCCAACAGCCGACAGCCACAAGTGAACTCATGATAGCAATCATACCCAATTCCCATCTTGTAACTCACTGAAGACACATGAAATCAGAGGAACTCCAAGATCATTCAACTGTTCCAAGCTCGGGTGGCCTTGTCTTTTCTGAACTGACCTCGGAACTCCGTTCCGGAAGCTCGAACCCCCGGTCTCCGAGAGGTGCCCGTTTTCAGCGCTTGTTGGACCTCACCCACCGGCGGCCTGGAGCAGGGAGCGGAAACCGCCGGCTTTCTCCGTGGGGAAAGCTGGGAGGAGCGAGGTGACGGTGCAGAGGATCATTTGCTTGAAGAGCTGTGAATCATGTTTCCAGACGCGACCCGAGACTGGTCAGGGGTCTGGGGGGTTCTCACCAATCCCTAGGGTTTTGAGGTACTTAAGAGCTGTGAACGGAGCGTCTGGGTTGGTTGATTTTGAGACCTTCTATTGGTTGAGCTAGAATTGCTAGAATGTTGAATGGCTATTTGCCGAGAGTTGAGGCAAATGTCCATATATATGGAGCACATCCATGTGTGTAGGATGGCGATTGGTGGAATTGAATCAGAAGCACTAATCATAATTTACTATATTTCACAACAAACAAATAGGAAGAAGAGGAACACAAAGAAGCTCAGAATTGTTCAACTTGGGCACCACAAAGAAACCATAAGAAACCCGCTCATCTCATCCACTCTTCGAAGAATCGCATCTCGATCTCAGGAAGGTCTACACCCGCGACCGCATGGGTGAGCCAGTCCCCGAGAGGCCGGTTCTTCAACTGAGCAGCTTCAAAAACCTCTATGATGAAAACTATGCAAACTGTAATATCACATTCTTTCGCGAAAGCCAAAACGCAGGTCGCGAAAGGTTCGCGAAAGCCCCGCGAAAGAACCCCAGAAGAACAGCGTGGCGAAAGCTTTCGCGAAAGTCGAATTTCTTGTGCATGTCGTGTTGTTTATGTGGGTGACCATATCTTTATGCAGGCAGCCGCAGCAGGCCAGCCAGCCAGCCAGCCAGCCGCAGCAGACCAGCCAGCAGCAGCAGCAGCAGCAGCAGCAGCAGCAGCAGCACTGAAGAGCAAGTGTTTCAGGGGAAAATCGAAAAGCCCAGACGAATTTCCGCGAAAGCCTCGCGAAAGAACCGCGAAAGTCGAAAATATTCGGGAAAGGTATCTGGCCCCAGCAAAAAGTTTCAGCAAGTTTTCCTCCTCTTCTCATGACAACAATAATACTTGAACGGTGCTGCTACAACTCCTTGTGCCAGGATGTTGCCGGAAAGAAATTTGTTTAGTTTTGACCACCCTAAGGATAACTTATATAGATCAATCACTTTATTGTACAATATCCCAATCGAATTTCCCAATCGAAAACGAATCGCCGCGAAAGCCGCCGCGAAAGCCCCACATAACACCACACCTTCCGCGAAAGCCAGAATGCAGACCGCGAAAGCTCCGCGAAAGCTCTGCGAAAGCAAACCTGGATTATACAAAAAAGTAATAGGGGTTTTCGAAGCTGCTCAACTGGGAACCCCAAGACACTACCTGGACCCGACTGACCCTGTACCTTAGAAAATGGGACATGACCCCCCAAAAAAACAGGTACTTGTACCCATTTTCCGAGGTACTTTGAGACTCCAGGTACATGTCATTGATGTTGTATCCCATTTTCGCTCCAAAAGATACCTTCTCAGAAGGTACTTCGCGCCTCCAAAGCTATGCCAAACACTGGAAAAGCACTTTCTTGTGGTGGAGGCATGTAGAGGCTGAAGTTCCCCAGAACCGGGCTACAACAGCCTTCGGAGCAGTGCAAACGTTTACAAAATGCGAAGTCTACGCAAGTGACCTTTAATTAATCCTTCGGCCGCCTGAGATGTTCCACTCTGACAGGTTGCAACTCCTCACCGTGTCCTCTGTGACCAACGACGAGTCTTGGGCACAGTACGTGGCACGGCGTGAGGCGCAGCGCGCGCGTGCCGTGTGGTTTTGGTGTGGCGCAACCGGATGTGAGAAGAAGTTTAGCCAGTGTGCTGACCAGTGTAACTAGTCCATACCAAGCTGACAGTTCTGGCCACCCATTTGGTATCCCTAGAGGTCCAAAGATCCAGCTCCAAGCTGGTCCTTTACATCGTTGAGGAGTGTTTGTTCCTTTAATCACCAACTCCAGTAAAATGAGGTAGTTGACCTCTAGGGTATGAAGCTTTTGCATGCTTTTGCCAGGCCAGAGGTATTCGTTTGCCATTGCCCCATGTCCGATGGCCACCCAGAGCCCAACCACATCCATTGTTTTTGCCAGGCCGTCCGTCGGGAGATCGACTCTGACAAAACGGACTGGTGCAGCTATGATGTGTCATGGCGATGAATTCAGCAACCCCATCCAGGAGTCACAGAGCTCGGGGTGGTGTTTGGTCCCCAAGTGAGTGGATCATGGGCACCCCTAACCTCCATTAAGCACCCATTTGTGACTGCTGGATGAACAAATTTAATCGAGTTTTCCAACCTGGTATGATGTACTAACAGCAGTCTTGCTGTTCATGTCCCATTCCTGAGTTCCTGCCAAAAAGCAGGGGTCGATACTGGTCACCCTTCAGGAAAGAGAATGGTGGCGGAGGGTTCTCCGTGGTGGTGGAGTTGGAAGATTACGCTAGAGATTGTGGGAAAGAGGACGGCATCATAAACCTACTTGCGGGCAAAACATGCGAAAGGCGTTAAGTGTTTAATGCATTTAGACAGCTGGACATGACCCTCGCATACCCGACCCACGCATACCCACAGCGTTCTGTGCCCATCCGTGCCGGCAGAGGTTGACACCGTTGCGCGATCGTCAGGCTGGCCGGGAAGCGTCAAGGTTCTTCCTGCAGCAGGTCCCGTTTCCCTACATCTCCAGTCGTACCTCCTCAGGTTCGGTATGACTGGACCCTCCTGGCACCCACCGAACCTCAGGTTCGGTATGACTGGAGGCCTAGGGTTGCGGGATCCAGTTCAAGACTCCGGGATCGTCCAGTCCAGTCGACCCAGGGTCCTGAAAACCTCTCCAGGTTCGTGGTTGTGATTTTTGGTATGACCCACTCCAAGATTTCATGAGGTCTCCTGACTTGGAGGGAGTTCCTGGGGTTTTGCAAGAAGGTGCTTGGGAATATGACCCGAAACGTCACGCTGAGTCACGCAACTGACGAGTGACTGAGCGCCCGCTGTCTTGGCTCTGTCGCTCGGTCTTGGCGAGTTTTCTGTGTTTTCGGTGTTTTCAATCAACGATCAACGAGAACACTCGCCGAATCAACGGTCGTGTCGTGGTCCATTTGCGATGATGAGGGTCTTCCTGTCCGTCTTCTTCCGTCTAAGCTGCACACGTCGGTTCACGACCGAACGATGCACAGTCGACAGATGTTCCATGAGGAGGTACACCGTTGGCGTCCGTTTGTGGGGTTCTGCAGGGCCCGAGGTCTCTTCTTTCGGAGTGAGCTGAAGCTACCGTAGAGCTGAGATGAACATCTTAAGTGATCTCAGAGATACAATGCTAGAATTTAATACAGCGGCCACGGAAGCTGTGAAATCTCCATGGCAGCCGAATCAATCAGAAATTCACCAAGATGTCTTGTACCGTACCCATTGGACCCGACCACTTTAGCGTCCAAGGACCCTGCCAAACTAGCAGGGGTTCTTGATTCTTATAGGGAAGATTTGTTATATCCACCATAAAAGTTGTGCGAGGCAACATCCACCTCCACTCTTCACAGACAGTTTATCTCTTTAGTTTTTTGCCCGGCGCATGACTTTTCACCTGACTTTTCACATCAAGAGTCCGTGTGACGTCTTGGCAAATCCATCCCATTGTCCGCTCCTTTTTCTATCCCTTTCCACCACCCAAAACGGACCACAGACAGACCATTGGTCTTCACTCAAAACGGACCCGCACGTAGTGCCGCATGTGCTCCTTCCACCACCCCGCTGTGCGGCGCGCACAGCGGCTGAAAGGCGACGAGGCGCTGGATGCCTTGGGCGAAAGCGCCGAAAGCATCGCCTTTGCCATGGCGGACGCTTGGGAGCGGTCAGCGCGTGGACGGCGCTGTGGTAGTGGTAGCTCCGCGCGTGGCGCCGGTGGGTGGGGGTGGCGATTCTTTGAGGGGGGAAGACCGGGGACTGCGGGCGTTTTTTGGGTTTAGGAAAAAGCCAAGAGAGATGAGGCAGTCATTACATGTCATGTCGCTATGAGTATGGGTCACGAAGAGACATGGATTCTGGTGGTGTTCCTTCTAAAATCGAATTGTATGTAACATGTTTTGTGCAGTCGAAGAATGAAAACGGATCATTTCCCTTGTTCCACAGCAGCGTGCGGAATCGGGACTAACGTCAAGTAGGATCATCTCAGATGACACTAGTACTGGGCCATGGCACCGCCGAACCCGAAGAAGATGAACGGATCAAGTGCTCTGAGCCCGAGGCTTTTGCGGAGGTTAACAGAGTACCTTGTGGCGATCCACATGCCTTCTCAGGTTCGGTACGACTGGACCCGACTGGCTGGCACCTAAAGAGAGTATCCAATCACCTCAGAAGGAATGTGGATCCATAGGGCTCTGTGGCAATGGTTTTCCAGTCGGTTCAGAAGAGCATGACAGAAATATTAGATTCACAGTTCATCGTGCAACACTTTGTTGGAATTGAACATGTTCCAGAGGCCAGGGGAGGCTAAATTGAAGCCGCACATGCCCCGGCCAAACCAACTCTTTTTCCGGTTTGTGCGACCACTGGTTCTTTGATCTTCTGTTCCGGAAAGCGCAGATTGAACCTGAAAGGATTCCAGATCCACTGCTTGGGTACAAGGGTTTTTGACATGAATAAGGCTTTAGTGACCTTCCGGGAAGCGCCGAGGATGATTTTGCCACGCCTTTGATGCCGCTTGCAGCAAAAATTGCTGGGTGTGGGGTAGCAAGGAGATGAGGGGAGATCGTTTTCTATGTCAAGACGTGTCCAGACCACGTAATTATTTGAGGCCTGGTAGGTGAAGCACAACTATAAGCCGTGCTTGTTGTGTTTCCAGGAAGTTCTAAAGCTGTCCACCATTCTGTGTCAGGCTTTAGAGCCGTTGAATTGTTGCAGCGATTGAACCCTTCAGGGATGTCCATCATAGCTGTTGCTCAGGTCTAGTCTAGTGTATAAGCTTCATTTTTCCTGCCAAAGGCCCAAGAGCGAGCACCATGAAGGAAACGGGTGGTTTTTTGTCCATCCCAAACATTCTAAACTTGGGTGGTACTCGTACAAAGGCATGTTTGTCATGCCATAATTAGTTATGTCATGTTATGTTGGGGTCATTATGCATTCCTTTCATGGTAATGATGATGGAACAATGGGTTCACATCATATAGTTTGGTTTCTATGGTCATATTCGTTCCTTGAGTAAAGCCAGGTTCGCATTTCTGTGCCAAATGAAGTGGATGTATTTATTCTTTGCCTGAGAGGCCACTCAGCTGATCTCAGCTCCGCAAAGTTCTGCAAAGCTTTGCTAGGCAAAGCGAAGAGACTTTGTGAATTGATCGACTCGGCTTTTTGAATGCTTGGACCACACAGAAAAACACAAAAAACATCAACACCTCAACAATTCAACCCTCTACTTGTAGACATGGATTTCACCTGACACCTGGAGCGACGAACACCACCGAGGGGCGAGGTGAATGAGGTCTTCCTCTTCCACGGCACCACCGAGAGCGCCGCGGAGAAGATCAAGACCCACGACTTCAGGACGTCCTGCCCTTCCCGTCGAACCGCACCGGTGTCACCGGCGCGCGCGAAGCGCAGGAAGCGAGTGGACCGGTGAGTTGGTTTCGCCACGCGCGAGAGAGAAGTCAGTGGGAGTTGAAGTTGGGTAGTGAAGGCGTGTGGAGGCGTGTGGGAGGCAACGTTTGGGGGGACTGTCCACATGAGCGGAGATTAGGATCAGAAGACATATCTCAAACCATCCACAGGACTGGAAGAGTTATACCTACACGGATGGGTCATGTGAACATGGGGTAAATCTATCATCCCTTCAAGTCCAGTCTGACCCAGTAAATCCTGGTCTTCTGCATTTTTAAGTAATGTTTTGTATGACCACGTACAGTCAAATGAGCTCATTGACCTGTAGGGTATATGTAACTCTTCCAGTTCCATTCGTTGGGTTTGAGTTCTGACTACCAGACCTTCGGCTCGGCTCTCGGCTCTCGCCCCGCGCAATGCTGCGACAGGATCAACCTGGCGGGCTCCAATGCTGGCACCTTGTATGGCCGAGGCATCTACCTGGCTGAGAACGCCACGAAGAGTACCTTGGGCCGTACCGTTGGAGTGGGCCGTTTGATTGGGATTCTTCCGAGTCACATGGAGTTTTGGGTCGGACGAATCGTCCGTGAGTCAGTGGATGTGATGTGGTCGGGGCACCCAACTCCTTCCTCCCGACTCGTGAGAGAACGGCACGTCCAGCTTCAAACGTCCAGGTTCGGCGTGCCAGGTTCGGGTCATGAGAGCAACCCATCCAGGATTTGATCCCGTTCCGAACTGCGATTCCTCCAGGCATCATAAGTATGCATAAGTCAGCCTTAGTCGGACTTAGATGAACAGATGGTCTTCTACATTACACTCCCTGGAATCAGCCAAATCACTTAGATGAACCAATTTGGCTCCAAAAGGATGATGGTAGGTCACCATGTGCGTTGGAGAGTAAGAGACCAAGGGTCCTTTTCAGCCGACCAAGTTGTAGAGTTCACCGAAAGTGACGGGACTGGTGATATTAATCCTCAGGTGCGTGAAAAAAAACGCTTTCCTGAAAAAACACATAGTGAAACGTGTGAAGACCTTTATGTTTCAATATGTTTCATGGTTTTGAGGGCCACTGAGATAGAGTACTTGTCATATATCTTATAATGGGGTCGTATACCCATCTCAGCTGGTGGTTCAACAATCTTGTGCAGAGACTCCGGGATCAAGCCGTGCCGGTCGATCGGGTTTTGAGCAGATTGACACCACCACCATGACATCGTTGCTACGAGGAAGACCCTAGGGGTCGGGTCCACTACCTCAGGTTCGGTGGGCACAGATCCGCCCTGGCACCGTTTAAAACCCCGATCGAACCGAAAGGGAGTCCAGGGAGGTAGCAGTGGGTTGGGAGCCCAAACGACTGGGACAATACGCCAAGAAAGCTGCAGGTGATGAATACACGCATCCCGGGCCGAATGGTGTGCGACACCTGCTGCTTTGCCGTGTCACGCTGGGGCGCGTGTTTTACAGCAACACCAAGGACGGGACTCGGGACGGTCCTGTGTTGCACCTGGTTTTCAAGTTGAGGGTGCAGGGAGTGACTGGTGTGACAGCAGGGAGGTGCAGGAGGTGCATGTAGAATTGGAAGATTTGGATGTCTGTCAGGAAATGGTGCCGAAATGTGCTGGTGGAATTTCCGTGTTGGTGGAAACACCGATCAGGAACAACAAACGATGCACGTAGCCGCCGTCTTGGTACTACGATGTACTGTGGATCACCTGCGTTTGACCTGGGTCAGACTCCTGCATGGGACAGACTGGACGTACCTGGACCATCCAAGGGGTGCCCAATGGAAGCCTATAGGTAGTGTGGGGTAGTCCAGCCAGGACACCCCGACAGGATGGTCCTGATAGGGTATGAATTGGTTTCTTGAAACAGGTTAACCTCGTTCCAGGGCCAGTGAGATCCAGTCTCACATTCTGGTTGCTGGAGGAGACGGAACCACGAAAATGTGAAGATGCCTGCTTGAAGGGCAGCTTGTCAGGAATTGGGATTCGGGGACTCGGGGATGGTATTGACTGTATGGTAAAGAAGGGGGTGACTGCTGACAATCAAAGGACCCCTGCACACATCTGCAGGCATGTTTTGATAGAAATCTTGGCTTGTGTGCTAGTAGGCATTTATGCCCTTGTCTCTTGCCGCGACGACAGAGCAAGCTGCAGAGCACCGAAAACGGGCGATACGTGCATGGAGTCTTCTTTCTTTTTGGATGGCAGCAAACATCAACTAAGAGATTCAGATCAAATGTAACAACCATGAGACTCTGCCATGAGGCACGTATCTTCAAAGTCTGGGGGGGGCTGGTCCAGTCTTCCCAAGAATGCAAACATACCATGAAATGGTGGTCCAAATACATGTCGGCCATGGGTGAGCTCATCTCAACCTTCTCAAACACCCCATGTCCTGCCCGACACGTCCTCCCTCACCATCCCACCACGGTGCGGTTTCGCGCGGACCCGGTTTCGCGCGGGAACCGGTCGAAGTACGGGCGAAGCTCTGAGTTGACGGTGCCCGCTTTGCCTTCCGCTTCGCCCTGGCGCCCTGGCGCGCTGAGGCAAATTCCATTCCATCTTAGGGGACCGGAAAGCTTGCCGAGGCGCCCGGTGACCGGAAAGCTTGCGTGTTTTGGGGGGGACGGTCGTTGGAGGGTCGAGCATCGACGGAAGAAGGGCGTGCAGGTCCTCTCTTTGACATTGGATCGAACCGAATTTGAGGCTTATCCAGTTCTGGTTGCTCAACGAACAGATGCGAAGGGTCAAGACGACTTCATTCGTGGTTTTAGGTCAGGTTCACCTCCGTATCCATTTCCTCCAAAGTTTCAGTCTTTAGGGGTGGTTGGATCTGGGCACCCCGCAACTCCAAGTTCAGCACCCAACTTCATGAAACTCTTCAGCATTCTTGTTCCATGTTCAGCTTGATATGCTTAATAACTATAGGACATATAAGGCGTGTCTTTGACCAGCATCCTGGTTGCCCTGTGTCTTTGACCCGGCGGCACGATGCAAGATGAGCAGGTCAGGGACGCTAGGAACCCATCGTGAGTGACTCCAATTGGACCATCCATCCGCTAAGACCTGCCAGATCCAATCCAGCTAGATCTCAGACCTACCAAGCTGCTAAGTGGACCTGTCAGATCTCTGACCTACTCAGATCTTTCTCATCCGACCCAAATCGCTCTGGATCGCCCTGGTTTAGTTCGTTGCTTGACCACCGCGGTCCTCGTCGGTTTGCCACCTCCTAGTCGTTGATGTCCTAGGCACCTTCCGCGAATTCGTGGTCTTTGATGAGGAACAGATTTACACCAACTACATTCTGACTCCTGGCGAGATCTATAGACTGCCGGATGAGATCAGAGGTCGGATTTGGAGCTGAGCTTTGTTGCCTCATCTATCCAGTTTTTTTTTTTTTTGGTTTTCCAGGACCCCCGTCCCCACCAGCATGGGGTGTTGATGAACATGGTTTTGATATATTTAAAGGTGCCCCGAGACCATCGATGAAGCATATGTTTGTTGCGAGGGTTGATGTGTTTGTTGTTGAATTCACCCATCCCAGACACTGAGTGTATGGAGCTAGTATGGACATTGTTGCCCGCGTTTATGGCCCAAACTATAGGTAACTATTCCAATCCCATGGATGGTTTGGGTATGAATACGAATTCTGTTGTGAGAGTTGACCCCACACTCAAGCCATCCGCTACAAGATTGATAGAACAAGTCAGCCTATGGGATTTGAACAGAAGGCCTGAATGTCCTCCTGAAGCTTGTAGAGGAAGAGGAAACTGTCCAGGACTTTGTGCAAATAGAGAATCAGGTGCAGATGCTGAATTGAATCAACATTTCATAGCCTCATACTGAGATGCTGTAATACTCTTTACATCATACTAACCGTCGATGTAGATTCTGAAAACCTCCTGACCAAGATCCAGTGGCTTGCTTCATAGTGCCAAACAGTCGCAAGTCTCAGGAGCATAGGGCTGTGAGTAGGTCATAGCTACGAGGCTAGAAGTGTGATATATACTGTAGCTTATCTCTACGACCTGTTGTTTCAAAGGTGGTCAAACTTGATGTCTCTGGTATGTGTCCCAATGAGCTTAAGATGCATTTGCTGCATATATGTGTCCTGTTCCTTCCCATGCCTCGCATTTCTGTATGTATTCCTGCACCAGGTGAAAATGGATTGCATCCAACTACTATTACACATATCATAAATATTTCCAGGGTTTGGTTTGCCAAAATTCCTAGGAATTCCTAGGACCAACCATCACTCTTCCATCCAACTTCCAACACCGGGCCAATTCTCCCGTCTCCCCAAGGACCTACCGCCGTCAGTAGCGACCCTGCGCGACCTGCGTGGTGCTCGAGCTCGGAGAGCGCCGATCTGAGCTGCGGCACGAGCTCCCATTCGGCTAATAGCGAAATGACCTAATAGCAAACCCTATTAGACTTTCTTCGTGTCTAGCAGCCATGGCCTCCAACCTAAGACGTAGGACCCATCAGATGTGCAACAGGATGTGCTACCTTCGAACCGAATGTACGACTAGAACCTGAAAAGACATCTCCAAACCTACAGTGTCCAACACGGATGTCAGATGGAAGATTATTCCCAGACGCTCTGTGAGAACAGCCCGTCCTGTCCCTGGTGAGAACCTCCAGACCCCTCTAGAAAGCAGAGCCCTTGGGTTGGAAGAATGCCTAAACACCAACAGGACAAGCACCTAAACACTGCAGATACCATGCAACATACCACGGGTGTCTAGCTCCCATAGTGGGACCAAGACATGGCAATACATCAGGTGGTAGGTTTTCGTAGGGATCCACTGCCACCTTCGAAACGAAGGGTACGACGCCCCACCCGACCCTGGCACTTATGTAGTTTGTGTCTCCAACACATCACCCTTTTGAGAGGGTGGCTTTGGATCCTTAAGGGGGTGATGCCTTGGGGGTGTCCCAGTAAACCAGTCACAGTCAGTGTCCTTGGGGATGTTGGCCTGCAACCTAACCATCATCATCCGCTGTTACAGGAATAGGATATATCATGATATAGCTAAGTGATTGCCTTTGATTGACGTAATCATGGCGCTCTACTGATAAAGTTCCACCACCATTTGAGATAGGGAGGCTCGCATCACTCACAAAATGATTCAGGGCGTCTTCTACAGTATGTTTGCGTTTACAGGTGGTTCGGTGCTCTTGTCCCATGCAGAAGGTCAGTTGAAACCAAACATGTGCCAAAGAGATTTGTAGCCTCATTTCATTTAATGAAACCAGGCTGATCGGAAGAGCATTTGACTGGATCCTCGGCCTGTATGGAAATTGATATTCTTGACATATGCAAAAAGGATAAGGCTATATAAGGATGCCGTTTGTTTCAGGTCACTATCCCGCTTTCTAAATATATATATATATATATATTTTGGAATGTCCCCGTAGCATGTGCCATCAATCACCCTGATAAAAGATATTTTCATTACGTAAGCTAGTCTCTTCAGCTGACTTTTCAGCATACCTTCAGTTTGCGAGCTAGTCCGCCAGGCTGTATTTGTTTTGTCTAAACGCTGCTTTTGTCAGAACCCTTTCAATGAAGCAGCTCAGCCTGAGATCGAGAAAGTTAGTTAAGAGGTTCTTTGAAAGACCTCGTACTTGGACACCGTTGATCCATCTGAAACAGCCCGGAACCGAGAAAAATCAGCACCGTTGAGGCATATATATATATATATATATTGGGACGTTCTATCTGTAGCCTGAAAAATCCTGGACTGGTCCTTTGGGTCATGAGATGGTCATGTTTGAAGTCATGTTTAACACCAGAATTCCATTATAATTGCATTTCTTGGGCTTGGTTGACATCATGTTTGCTTAGGCCCAGGCTTAATGAAAACACACACACACATAATTTTAGAAGCATGCTTCTGGTGAAAAGCATTTCCAGTTGTTTTTTTTTGCCTGTGGAGGAATGGCTTCTCAGAAGTTGTCCAGTTCACAGAGAGACCATCAGAACAGTAGGTTTGGGGACTTGGGGATATCCAATGGAAGCCCACAAGTAGTCAAAGGTAGTTCAAGTGTGATGGCTCCTTACTTCTACGGATGCTCGTAACAAGAGGATCGCACAAAAAAAAACATGGGTGTCAGATTGAATCTTCCGTCGATTCATCGCATGGTGCTTTGATGTGGCAAAAACCTTCAGATGGATTGACGACCATCGCTTCATCCACCCAGAATCGGTGGTGGAACCCCAAAAAAGCAGGCGCTTCGGAGCCCAGACGCTCCGTCCGTTGATTCACAGCCCGTACCCGGTCCCTCTGGTCACTGCATTGGTTCGTCCCGACCGACCAGACCCATGACTCGAGGAGGGTCGGGTCGTCGAGTCGCCAGACCCCCTCGGATCTCGGGGGTCGACCGGGTCGCGGCTTGGGTAGAACCTCGACTGATCGGTCGACGAGGTCGCGAGCTCTCGCGGGACCTTGTCGAGAGGAGAGAGGAGAGTTGTGAAGATCCGAGCTGACTCATGCTCCAGCTACGTAGTCATGGTTCACCACTTCTAAGGGGGTCAAGTGAGTCCATAGGGTCGGACCGTCAGGGGTCCAGTCGGGAGTCGGATCCTGCCAGATCCCTAGTTTCTATTGGACGATATAGGTCAGCAACACATATCCCATGACACTCCATGTATATGGATTACGCCTCTACGTTCAAGGGTCGGTACTTCATACCATACTCTCAATTCTCGAAGTCATACTTGATGTGTCTTCCATCTGTGCTCCTCGATTTTTCTCCCAATATCATTCAATATCCGAATTCTGCAGCTTTGCAAGCCAAATCTCATAAAGGCCACTCACCCAACCCACCCCCCAAAAAACAGAAAGCAAACAGTTTCACGGTCCTGGTCCCAACGGTTTCTCACCCGAAAAGACCCTCCGTCCTTGGTCGTTGGAAGACTCCGCGCGTCCCGCGTCCGGGACGAAGGCCGTTCTTCGGCTTCGCCGCGGAAGAATGCTCGGCCCCATGTGGTGGAGGGCCTCAGGGGAAGTCGCTGAGGGGAGGGAAGTCGCCCAACGAGACGTGACCGGGCCGTGAAGAAGGACCGAGATGGAGAGGAAAACGCGGAGACATGCCGCAGAGATGCAGGAGCACCACCTCCGAAGCGGGTTCACAAGAGAAACCTACTTGGCTTTTGCCAGGGGGAAGTTGAAGGGGCTGAAGGGGTCACAACTTGTTTTTCATACCAGGACCTTCCAAGGGGTGCCCAATGGAAGCCCCAGCCCACCACTAAGGGACCTCCAGCCAGGACACCTGTTCATCCAACGTCCCATCGTCGCGGCCGGACTTCTGCCCCGCCCGTTCCGTGTCTGGGAGAACCATCCGAAATGCCGGAATGCCGTTGCCTGTTCTGTCGTCTCGAGTCGAAACGGTCGCGAAACGGGCACGATCAACTCATGCTTTCAGTGGTCCGTCATGTCTGTTTGGATGAGCACGATCAACTGAGCTTGTTCAAGAAGAGATAGCAGTGCACCAAGCATGAGTTGGCTAAGCCATGCTGCTTGAACGAGAAAGTCTTCACACCATTGCACACACTAGAAGGATTTGGCAAGCAATTCCTCCAGTGATTACTTAGTTGGCCACCAGTCTAATTAATGTCTGTTTCATACTCCAGTGCCTGCACCTTAGTCATGGCCATGGATAAATATTGCAAACGTTGCTGAACAGCTTGCGACCTTGCTGGGAAGGTGACCAATTCTTGGTCGAAAGGTGGAGAGCGGAAAGCATATAGGGTTTGTTCAGTAAAGCCTTGAAGTTCTTTGGTCGAAATCTGTTTCCGTCCACCATCCACGCAGACCTGTCAGACCAGTCCCAACTGGTCCCATGCATGAGACTTAGACCTGTCCAGATGCCGGCGCCATGGCGTGGCGAACCAGGCCCCATGGAACCGCCGTTTTGAAGAGGACGGGACGGACGCATCTTGGGAGATCTGGAGGTCTCTTCTTCTTCCAAGGCAGACTATATGACGACCCATGTGTTGTGCGTTTCTTGTTTCACCCTAAATAGGTTACGGCTATCTATATGTTGTTGTTGTCGCTGTCGTTGTGGTGGTGGTGGTTGTTGTTACCTATACACATGGAGTGTTTGCTGTATATATGATCTTCCAACGACCATAAAACCCAAAACAACCAGAAACGTTGCGTATAGGTGGAAGGTCCATGTGGAGTGTTTATTGTATGTTTCTTGCATGCATCACTGGGAAACACACCCTTTTTACCCTTCAGCAGCAGGCAGCAGCAGCCGCAGCAGCTTCCTCCTATTTTTTGTTTGGCCATCGCCTGCAGGTCGCTGCAGTGTGCCCTCCGTTTGGACAGCTACGTGCTACAACGAGTCTTTTAGCCAGATTCCGTCGATCGAGAGTTGTATAGGTTTAGGCTCCAATCAGAAATGGGTTTCGTGGATTCGTGGAGTAAGCGAGTTCACCACCTGGTCATGGTGATTCTGAACATGGTCATCCGTGTCTTGGGGAACATGAACATGGCCACTCCATCCACGTGCAGTTGATGATTCCTTTTTGGGAGTGTAGTTGCTGCACGCCGGTTCAGGCCGGCTCAGGCCTGAGCCAGAGCGTGCTGTGTTAGCATGCGTTAGCCATCAGCTCCTGTGAATTGACATTTGGGATCTTCAATCAACTTGATGCCCAGAAGTCATCATCCAGAGTGTAGAGTGTGTACCAATGGCTAGACTATGCTAGACTGGTCTATCTTCCATCTTTTCCACAGGGTGTCGTGACCTGGGAGGAGGTCTCCCTATTGGCTACACGCTACACTCCGGCCCAAGCAGCCAGGGCGGAACCCGTTTGGGTGGACGACTAGACCTCCACTGCATGGAACTGGAATAGTTACTACCAGCTTCTTCAGTTCGTGACCTTTTGAAGGTTCCTAAGTGACCCTTAGGAGGGTTAAGTGACCGAACCAACCAGGTTATCAAGTACGGTCACTTTGAAGAACCAGGTATGTAACACATTACATGTGTTCTCTTTTTACTTGACGCTTGTAACCCATAGTTCCACATCTATTTTCACCTGACCCATCCAACTCTTCCAGTCCCATTCGTTTGGTTTGGGAGTCTTCCCATCCCCGTTCCGGACGGAGATGCGCGCGACGCACGCGCATGGGTCGAGACGGGGTCGGTTCGAGGCTTCCGTGCGAAGCTTCACCAGTTGGTGGCATAGGCCCCGATGTGGAGAAGGGTGGTGTGCCGAGCCGCTCCGGCTTGCTGGAGGTTGTTTTTGTTGGTTCTTTTTGGGTGGATTTCAGGCAAAGCGCAGAGTTCTGGCGGCATTTGCTTGCAGCACTTAATGTATCTCCCAAGAGCACCTGTTCACTTCTTGTTTTGTGAGGTCTAATGGAGTCAACGGTTTTCGCAGGTTCTTCGCACGAGACATTTGGACTCATGACCCTTTTTCTATATGGTACGGCCGTACCTATGGTCCGAAGTACTGGTCCTTTCAGGGTCAAGGTAACTACAATACAATGTAGATGGTTGATGAAAAGGTAAACCATATTATATGAAGGAGGTTTTACCATCCAAGTTTGGGGAGCTCTTAATCCGCATGTCTACATTTAACAAAACAAAGAAAAGAGATGCCTCGATTCTCGACAGGTGGGTGGATGGTGTGAACCCGGAGAATGCCTCGAACGCGGTGCCTTGGGCAGAGAAATTGGGCCGCTCTGTGTCAGCATGGCTCTAAGATGCCCCCCCTTCCAGCGAACCAAAGGTAGATGAGGGTGTTGGGAACAGGGTGAGGGTGTTTGGACCCCACCAAAAACGATAATCATGTCAAAAGGTATTTGGCAACACAAGTGATTTTTGTCCGCTGCTCAGGTGTTTTTGGAGTCTAATACACGCTTCTGAAGCACCCATTCTTGGGTCACCCACAGTTCAGCCTGACCTGTTGCAATGGGTCATCACCTGTTGCAATCTAAGCACCATTCACATCCATTCTTGCAATGGATCATCCACAGTTCATGAGGCCTGTTGCATACGTTTCAACATCCTTTTGCCCTAGCCCCAGCAGCTCGGGTCCGTCCGAAAAGAAGGGCGGACCGCTCATCCCTGGACGAGTGGAAGACTGTACGGTACAGCATTCCAAGTGTCACATCTAGGCACACGCCATGTTCCTGGTTCTTCAGTTCGTGACCGTACTTGATAACCTGGTTGGTTCGGTCACTTAAGCCTCCTGTTTGGGTCACGACAAGGAACCTTCAAGTTCGGTCACGAACTGAAGAAGCTGGTTGTGGTGTATTTACCGTAGGACTCCTGGCCTACCTCCTGAGGTTCGGTGGTTGGGGTGGGTGCCAGAGGGGTTTGTCCCATATGGTTGGAGCCCTAAAGTTTGCTACATTTTTGGCTGGTTCCAAAGGGGTCTGTCTGGCTTAGGCCAGTAAAAGGAAGCAGCTGGATATGGAATCCAAAAAGATGCTTCGATGGGGGTCCCTGTCCCATCTTCAGCGGACTAAGGAGGTCTCTGACATGTTGCGCATCGCCGGCATCGATCCGTGCGCAGCGATCCGTGCGGTGGCCGTGGACCTGTAGTGATGGTCGTTTGCAGTGTAATAAACCTTATAAAGTAAAACAATGTTTTTTTGGGGATTCAGACTTCAGACCACGAACCATCACCAAACCAGTTGGTGACCAAACTTGAGATCCCAGTGGCTGAGGTCACGAATTGTCCCTGTTTAGAGGTCACAAACAAAGGCTCCAAAGAGGTTACGAACTGAAGGTCCTGGACAAAAAATGGTTTGCCACGAATCCTAGGGTGGAGGATGGAAAGTCACAGACCTCTGGAAGGTTTGGTCGGGATCTGGCATAGCATTGCCGATCTGGTGGGGTGGGCGGTTGATTGAAGAGGGGTCAATGTAGCTAGGTAAATCTTCCAATCACATGGAGTTTTTGCGAATGACATGTCCCAGAGATGGAGTGAGATTTAGTAGAGGTTGCTCTTCGATTGCGATGCTGCCTACTGTCGATGTGAATGGATGTGAATGGGGGATGAAGTTGAGAAAACGTCCCTGCCAGAGAGGAGGCATGTGTTTGAATTGTGGATCGGATGAAGGATCAAGTGCGCTAAAACGACCTCCCATGGAATGCCCAAACTGATGCAAGTGAGTAACACCAAACTCAGATGAGAACTGATGAGAACTGTTTCAGAAAATTATTCCATCAACCACCAAGTTCAAGATCGGAAGTTTTCTTTGTCAACAAACCCGCGAGGTGTCCATGTAACTCCAATCCGCATGGCAACTTCCACCGGCTGCTTCGCAGGTACCGTCTGCCCCGAGATGAGCTCGAGGAGAAAACCTCCCTGCACAGAAGCCCAAGTGCAAGGCATGAAATTGCATGTTTTCCGACCTCACTGACTGGTGCTCAGTAGGGAATGGTATAGGAACTCCATTGCTGTCCTCGATATTCCCTCGTTCCGAATTCGAGGCGCACCAGTCAGCTTTTGATGCATGTGAAAGGGGGCCGACTGCATGAGAAAGCAACCATCGGAGATGTTTTGACCTCTCACTTCTTTTGCACCGTGACTTCATTTGGTGTGGAGACACTCAGTGTTCGATACTATTTTCTTTAAACTCAATGCATTTATATATAGAATCACCGATCACACCACTATTTTACAGTCTAGTTATAGTATTCCAACGTGATTTGTTCCGCTGCATGTCCTTTCATCTTACGTCCTCGCAGGAGTTCCGAAAGCAGTACCTCATGCGGAAACAGTATCAAGAGTTCGACAAGCCTGGCGATGAGCTCAAGGCTTTTGCTTGCATGCGATATGTTTTCAAACATGTCCTGTCCTGCACTAGATGTGAACGAGTGAGATTTAATAGTTATCCCTGCCTTATTTATCAGAGTGTCTTCCCCTAAGAATCCAAGTACCTCCTCAGAAGGTATTTGGACCCTCCTGGCACCTACATAACATTGTCTCCAATCACATTCTGAGGTAAGGTACGACTGGATCCCTAGGGTTCTAAGGTCTAGCACAAGTTCTGAAGATTAAAACATACACATGATAGAATCACCTCTCTGGAACGGCTCCCGTCCCTGCCCTTGTGCCATTTGGAACCATTTAAGTGCAATTTTAGACCGTCATATGCTAGGGTAGCAGAACATGCGGCAAACACAGAATGTTTGAAGGTTCTTGGATGCATGTTGGGTTGACGTGTCCCAAACATTCATGTACCTGGGCCCTCCAAAGCACCTTAGAAAATGGGAAATTACCCTACAAAATCTTACAAACAAAAAGGTACTTGTACCACTTTTCCAGGTATGTACCACATATATGTACCAGGATCTTCAGTTCAGTTCGTGACCTTTGACTGGAGTCTTTGTTTGTGACCGCTTGAAAGACTAAGTGACCTCATTGGATCTCAGAAGACCACGGACTGAAGGTCCTGGGTCCTGGATTATTGACCTAGATTGGGGATCATTGGGGTGGTTCTCGGGGGGATCATCATCATTCACGATGTTGAACCAAGGCCAATAGGAAACCATCATCATTAGATAGATCAGGTATATAGGATAGACCCAAGTGATCTTCCAGTCCGGACAGTCCGTTTTAGGGATGTAATCTGCGTCAGACCGTGAGAGCTTGCTTTTGGTCCACCGCCCTGTCAAGAAGATGACACAGCACAAGGCTGGACAAGTTCAAGAAAACTCCTTGGGACAAAAATAACCTGTTTTAGAAAAAGGGTGCTTTGTTTTGAGCTGGATTTTCAGCTTCAACCTTACCCATTTGTCTTGAAGATGACAATGCAGTATATATCCTATTCTATCCTATTCTCAAAGGTCTATCCTCTGCAACCCCTGGGAATTCTTGGTCTTCCACTTCCTGGGTTGCGGGAGCTGTGGCTCCCTTCCCTCATTTCGTCGTGCCAGGATTTTCGCTCACGCTGCGACGAGAGGAACGTCCAGGTCACGCGCCGAGGGTTTTCGTCCGCCTTCTTCGCCGACCCGGGGTCGGTGGGTGTGGAGATCTCAGTCGTTCACCAGAATTATCTCAACGTCCGATCCCGAAGACGGTATACCGAGGTGTATGGTATACCGATCAGGCTAGGGGTGGTGGTGCCAGAAGGTTCAATTGATCGGCTATGACAAGGATCTGTCAGTCGTGGACGGTTGATGAAACAAGTGCACGCCCAAAGGGCCATGGAAAGAGAAAGCCCCAGCAACCTCCTGGATGTTTTCCTAGGACAGCCGGATTTTGTATCCTATGGATAAAATAGGAGTGGCTGCCGCTTTGTGTGGGGGCTCAGTCGGTTTACTTTTTCCCGAATGCGTAGCGAAGGGTTCTCGTTTAACTCTGGGGGTCTGGGGGTAGAGTCTTGTTCGCGATCCGTTGTTTCTATGTTCGCAACCGTCCGCAACCGTTCGCAGTAGGACGCTAAGGCGCTGCCATTGGGGGAAGCTTTTGCAAGTGACTTTTCATGGATGTGTCACGTGTCAGTTTGCGACGCTATTCCATTGTGATTTGCATGAAAATGACATGTCGCGCAAGAAGCGTGATGCATTTCGCTGCACAGGCGCAGTGGTTTGAGAGATCCGCAGTTTACTGCGCAGTTCCATTGGGATTAGCGTTTGGAGAGTCGTGTTTTTGGGGTGTTGGATGTGGCCGTGCCATTGGGATTTGCGTTTCAGGGTGTGGCATCGAAGCTCTGTTTTCGTGACAAGTCTCAGCTGAAATGGCGATTTTGGTGGATGGGAGTGTGCTCAGAACGGGTCGAAATCATTCTAAACGTGTGGTGTGGTGCAAATTTTGTTGAAGCTCATGTGAGATGATATTCTCACTTTTCGTGGCAGGCACAGTACCTTGTGCTGATTTTGAGGTGTGGAAGTGCGATTTTCGTGGCAGGCGCAGGAAATCGTGAGGTTGCGAGGTGTGACGGAGGTGACATTTCGTGGCAGGCGCAGTACTTTGTGCGCGTTAGACGTGTGGATGCGGAAAGATTCGTGGCAGGCGCAGGGAATCGTGAGGTTGTGAGTTGTGGTAGAGGTGACTGTCGTTGTCTCATTGGGATTGGCGTGTGAGCGGGTGTTGTTCGGAGGGGCTGGAATCGCGAAACTGCTTGGCAGGGCTGCGTGATGTGTGTGCTCCGATGGGTGTTTCCGCTTGACTTTTGGAGGAAGTCTCGTACGAAACGCTCGTTTTGGAGACTTTGACACGTGAGTTTTTGAGGAAGTCTCGTACGAAACGCTCGTTTTGGAGAGTTGACACGTGACTTTTGGAGGAAGTCTCGTACGAAACGCTCGTTTTGGAGAGTTGACACGTGACTTTTGGAGGAGGTCTCGTACGAAACGCTCCGTTTTGGAGACTTGACGCGTGACTTTAGGAGGAAGTCTCGTACGAAACGCTCCTCTTGCAGCCTCGAAGCGTGACTTTTGGAGGAAGTCTCGTACGAAACGCTCGCGTGACTGCTTCTAGTGTGTGGGCAGACCGTGTCGCGACACGAGTGTCCCACAAGAGTGTCCCACAAGAGTGTTCCACAAGAGTGTCCCGCAACCGTGTCCCACAAGAGTGTCTCACAAGAGTGTCCCTTAAGAGTGTCCCACAAGAGTGTCATATAAGAGTGCCCCACAAGAGTGTCCTACAAGAGAGTCCCACAAGAGTTTCCTACAAGAGTGTCACACAAGAGTGTCCCACAAGAGTGTCCCACAAGAGTGTCCTACAAGCGTGTCCTACAAGAGTGTCCCACAAGAGTGTCCTGTAAGAGTGACCCACAAGAGTGTCCTACAAGAGTGTGTCACAAGACTGTCCCACAAGAATGTCCGACAAGAGTGTCCCATAAGAGTGACCCACAAGAGTGCTTTTGAGAGTGTCCCACAAAGAGTGTCCTACAAGAGTGCCGTGTAAGAGTGACCCACAAGAGTGTCCTACAAGAGTGTCTCGCAAGAGAGTGTCCCATAAGAGTGACACACAAGAGTGCCCCACAAGAGTGTCCCACAAGAGTGCCCCGTAAGAGTGGCCCGTAAGAGTGGCCTACAAGAGTGTCCCACAAGAGTGTCCCACAAGCAAGAGTGTCCCGCAAGAGTGTCCTACAAGAGTGTCCCAAAACAGTCCCCCCCCAAGAGTTTCCTACAAGAGTGTCCCACAAGAGTGTCCCAGAAGAGTGTCCCGCAAGAGTGTCCTACAAGAGTGTCCCAAAACAGTGCCCCGCAAGAGTTTCCTACAAGAGTGACCCACAAGAGTGTCCTACAAGAGTGTCCCACAAGAGTTTTCCACAACAGTGCCCTATATGAGTGTCCCACAAGAGTGTCCTACAAGAGTGTCCCACAAGAGTTTCCTACAAGAGTGACCCACAAGAGTGTCCTATAAGAGTGCCCCACAAGAGTGTCTTACAAGAGTCTCCCACAAGAGTTTCCTACGAGAGTGTCCTATAACAGTGTCCCACAAGAGTGTCCCACAAGAGTGTCTCACAAGAGTGTCCCACAAGAGTGTCCTACAAGAGTGTCTCACAAGAGTGTCCTACAAGAGTCTCCCACAAGAGTTTCCCACAAGAGTGTCCGACAAGAGTGTCCCACAAGAGTGCCCTACAAGA